GAAGGAAGGAAGGAAGGAAGGAAGGAAGGAAGGAAGGAAGGAAGGAAGGAAGGAAGAGGGTGCTCTGATGGTGCCTCAGCACTGAAGAAGATGGAGAAGATATCACCTGAAACCCAAAAGAGGATCTCCAAAGTGACAGACCTCAGGACAAAACCCCTTATGCAAATTAGTTTTCTTGTCCACAAGCAACAAAGCTGATAAAAGTCAAGAATCTCTTAATCCAATGCAAAGAGGAGCCCAAAGAGTCAAAGAGAGGCCTCTACCTCTTGCACATGATGGGGTTGATGGCTGGGAGCAGAAAGAAGCTCAAGGTGATCACCCAGGAATCACCCATTATTGGACAAAATTTCTAGTATCAATTTTATTTATTGAATGTTTTTATATATTACATTGCTTCTTATTTGAAGACCACCCCTTCTCATTTCAATGCAATTTAATAATATTGTTTACACTTATTTACAATATTTAAAAACATATTTTCAGGTCTCTTCCTGGGAGAAAACTTTCTCAAGGTATCCACCATCATTGCACATAGCACTGTACAGACTGGAATATACTCTTGTGATTATCTATTTAATGGCAGACCAACAGTTCTTGGAAGATTGGTAGAACTATATATTTTTCCATACTTTCTTTCCTTAATCTCAAACTCTCTTTGAAATTGTTCTGTCATACAGCTGTTGCTGACATTTTAATCTTTTCAAATATTATTGTGTATGTGTATAGACTGAGTCTTTATAACTAGTTTGTGGGTTTTGGAGTAAATTTCATTGCCTAGAATGCATCCCAATTTAGTCAATTCAAGGCTCAAAGGATGAGAAACAATAAACAGCAGAATCACTATAAGCCAGTGATAATAAGAAGCATTTCTACCTCTAAGAGGGAAAGCAAGCAAAAAGCAGCTGGAGACAACAGATGAGATGATAACGAGTATATTTATTCACACTGCACTATGAAACGATAAGAATGATATATAAATACTTCATGGAATTGATTAAGTGCCATCAAATCAGTGCCAACTCTCAGTGACCACAAAGACAGATCTTCCCCAGGACCATTGCCTGCAAAGTTCTGATTTCCATGGAATATTTCAGAGTAATGACAGAAAAAGCTCCGGCCCCAAAAATATGACAGTGTAAATTTCAACAGCGATAACAGAAGAAGCAGAGGTGAAGGTCAGGAAAGCCTGCACCAATGTGAGTTTTGTCTCCTGGGGTTTTGGAAGACCTGAATCTGCAGCTTCCAGTCAGATCAGTGGAAGAGATCAGAAGACATGTTCCTCTTATTGTTTCTTGTATTCTATGGCAGAGACTGGCACCATAATCAGATTGAATGATGGAGTTCTCAGGAGCTCTCCCTCAAATTCTCTCTATATAATTCTGCCCCACCCCTACACACAAAGCCTGCATGGGGTTATGAAGATAGCATTACGAAACCATGCTTTCCTTTCCAGATAATCAATCCAGCAGCATGTCCTGCACTGGATAGGAAGCCGCTACAAGCCTGACAGCTTCTATGCCTGGGGATGGCTTAAGTCTACCTGTGAACAGTAATCATGCAAACCAAACATCCAAGAGAAACACATCTGCAGCCTCAGTAAGCAGGAGGCTTCAAATTAACTTTGCTTTTGAGTGTCAGAGACCCCTGAGAATTGTGGAGTCCTTGGGGTTCTCTGAGCTTGGTTCTTTTCTTGCAAACGTTTCATTA